GTGTCATAGCCGTTGGTAGTTTTTTCCCCCCACCGTGTGTACTGCTCCGTGGGAGGAAGATGCCAGAGAATATTCATACTCCTCTTGCTGCGCATACGGGTTCTCGCGTTTAGCTATTCTGGATAAAGCTGCTAGGCATATTCTTCTCCCTGCTAGGTTGTCGTAAGCACTCATTTCTACCAGGTATGTATCCAGGCATGGAATTGCTGCCTCATGGGGCGTACACTGCTTGCCTGTTAGGAGGGCCTGCCAAATTTTCTTCCAAAGTGGGCCTACTATTTTAGAGTTGGATGGTCTTAGTAATAATGTCATCAAGAGAGTTGCATAGCTTTTTTTTTTTGACATTTATTCATGTGTATATTTATTTTTAAATAATGATTTTATTTAACTTTATTTTATTTTATTTATTTGACCGGAGAGGGACAGAGTAGAGAGAGAGAGCAAGCCACCAGATCCAGGACTCGAACCATGTGGCCATGTGGCAGTCCAGTGCCTTTAACCACCATGCCACCTGCTGGCCCAACATTTACTTATTTATTTATCGACTTATTTGTTGTGATTTTCAAGCCACCAGGTCTGGGACTCAAACTGTGGTTGGCCATGCTGGAATCCAGTGCCCCAACCACCATGCTACTTGTTAGCCCCAATCTTTATTTTTTATTCTTCAGTTTCTTTCTTTGATGAGTGAGACAGAGAGATCTACAGAGACAGATATACAGATATACAGAAACAGAGAGTCACCCCAACAGGGTCACCACATTGAGATCCAGCCTGCCTCAACCAGCCCCAGCTCACGGGCACAGGAGCACCCAACAGGCCCGAGAAGGTCTCCACATGGGAACCCGGGCCTCTCCCACGTGGGTCAGCCTCACAGCCTTGCCCAACCACGTCTGGCTGTAGATGTAAAACCTTAGCGATGTCCTCCATGATGCACACCACAGCTCCATCTTTAGGGAGGGCCAGGGGCCCTGTGTCCACCAGCCAGGCCTCATCTTCGCTGGCCTGTGCTGGCTGTGCCCGGAGAAAGTCCAGCTCTCCAGCTCCTCCCACCCCCACATTCCTTAGCAGTCACCAAAGCTTCTGTCATTACAGCACTGCCTTGCTACCGGCAAGCCACGGCGCCAAGATTACAGCTTATCTTCCACTGGAGCTGGTAAATCAATGTCGTCCTCGTTGAGAGGCACCCGGGCCTCTTTCAGACATCCACGCGGCCTCCTGGTCTTGTCAGTAATCACATGCACATCATGGGTGGGTTGTTTCTTGAGATTTCCCGGGGACCTTGGTCACGGATGGCTATCTTTTCCAGGTAAAGTGTTCATGCATTTTCATTGCAGGGGGTGACAGTTTCAGGCCCTGTTCCAGGTTCTCGGGTGCATCTTACATAGGGACAGTGTGCTGATGACAAAATTCATAGACAGTGTACGTTGAAAAGGACTCAGAGATCATCTAACCCACTTCTCTCCTATGAGAGGGGATACCCAGGACCAGAGAGGCGAACTGACTTGTCCGAAGTTGCACAGCTAATTTCCAGACACCCAGGCCAGGCGCATTCCT